GCCGCACTCCCCTGCTCATTGTAAAAGAAAACAATTCAAAAGAACCCCTGTGACTAAAAGAGCACTGCAACATCGTGAAACACATCAAGATTTGTGCGTGTCATTCCTTAACACTGCAGCAACGTGGTACACTTCAAGATTTGTGCGGGTCATTCCTTCACAATTCAAAAGAACCCTGTGACTACAAGGGGCACACCCACACACTCGAGATATTGCGTACGGAACTGAAAGCCATTTACCACACGGCGACCTAGGTATATAACCATATTCCTGAGAAAGTCATGTAAGGGGGTCTGAGCATCCTGGGGGTCCAACCAAAAGAAAAAGGATGCCCAAGGTTCCAAGTTCAAAGTCGATTTTCGCGAAACAACAGGTTGATGACGACCGTGCACATCTGCAGAACTCATTGGCCTTTTACAGGAGAGTCGGGTCACAGCTTAAATGTTCAAAAGGAAGCAGGTACGTCTGGAAAGCGTCCTTTCCAGATACCAGCCACAACTGCAGCCCTCTTCATTGGGCAATCAGCTGTAATGTGGGATTGCCCCCCTCCGGTGATTCCAGGGTTTTCACACACATGCCTCCCATAAAGGGAGGCACAGAAAGACCAAGGGGCAGGCAAATGTGCATATGTGCGCGCAAAGCAGACAAACGGATGAAGACTTGAAAAGAGGACAAGACAGACAAGGTGTGTGTGTGATTGCAATGAAAAGGAACTTAGCGACCAGGGACAGCCGATGAACCAAACCTCCTTGTGACAACCTGGGCGACCTCAGACCTGGGTTTAAAGTACAAGTGCGCGCGCACACTAAGGGCCGGACCAGTATATGCGCAAGAGAGAAAAGGGGTGAAGTGCCAAGACGTGAAGACAGAAAGACATATTGACCCTGCGTTCCGGGTATTTGGCGGAATCAGCCAGCCAGCCACCTATCAAAGTATCCGGCGAAATCAGCCACCCAGCTAGCTAAAAAGTATCCGGCGGAATCAGCCAGCCAACCACCTATCAAAGTATCCGGTGGAATCAGCCAGCCAGCCAGCAAAATATCCGGCGGAATCAGCCAGCCAGCCACCAAAAGTACCCGGCGGCTGAATCAGCCACATAAAGGGGTCCGTATAAATTCTATGTTGCTATATCTCTTACACACCTATATAAGTTCAATGCAAGAATGAGACTTCAAAGCTGTGGATTGCTGTACGCGTGCGAAGGTTATCGAGCGGTTGACGGAAAGGGAACTTGAACCTGCTAACTGAATTGTAGTTACCATGGGTATCTATACCTGCGCCAGCTGAGTAAGAAGGGGGGTTCGGGGGGGTGGCCTGAGAAAGCACACTCGAAAGCAAAAACACTGGCTTTCGTTTTGCAGCTTCTCAGGTTGTTTATGTTGTTTGCCTTGCTGGCAGGAAGCCTTCCCAGGGGGACGCGTACATGGCTTCACTTTTTGGCCCGAAGGGTTGATCAAGGAGGCAAGGTTCCAACCGATCAATCAGTCAATCAACCTTTACGCGCGCAAAAACATCGGCCCAGGTGGAAATTGCTAACAACGCTCTGTCCAATGTTGCTGCACTCCCACAAGAGCTTCGTTCCCATGGAAGAACAAACAACAAACAACAAACAACAAACAACAAACAACAAACAACAACATCAACAACAACAACAACAACAACAACAACAACCACAACCACAACCACAACCACAACCACAACCACAGCGACAGCCACAGCCACAGCCACAGCCACAGCCACAGCCACATCAGAGCTCTTTTGACACGTGGCAAACATCAGACAAAATGAACTTCTAGGATCTGAAGGGTTTAGCCATCAGTGGCGTGGCAATGTGACTAGTTCTGTGACTATTATTTAGTGGATCAATTTGTATTGTTGAACGAAAAACGAAGCCATCACTAGCCTATACACTACTTGTGACGCCTCTTACCATTTGGCGCCAATACTTGTTTGGTCCATGTTTCCTTCATTAGCCAACTGTGTGTGCCAAAAGTAAAGAATATGTGAACACGACTTTCAATTATTTTTGAAAGAACGCATTTCGACCAGATGAATCTCATCAGATTCAAACTCGCTTTTCCCGGACCGCCGCCACTCTTTCTGGTTTTAGCGCGGCGTGCGCCAGAACTAGTCACACCGCATTTGGGTAGTGCGGTGAGGTCCTCTGAACCTCTAACTGCGGTACACTGAAACTCCACGGCCCGTGGAGCTGGGACTTGTGTAAAGGACCATTCTCACTCAAAATAAACGGGAGCTGTGGCCGGCACCTCGTGAATGAGATGCCGGAAGCCACCTATGAAAGTATCCAGCCAGCCACCTATCAAAGTCCCGACGGAATCAGCCAGCCACCTATCACAGTCTCCGGGGGAGCGGGAGAATCAGCCAGCCAGCCAGCTATCAAAGTATGCGGCGGAATCAGCCAGCCAGAAACCTATCAAAGTAGCCGGCGGAATCAGCCAGCCAGCCACCAAAGTACCCATGCAATCAGCCAGCCAGCCAACTAAAAAGTAGCCGGCGGAATCAGCCAGCCAGCCACCAAAGTAACCGGCGGCTGGCGGAATCAGCCACCAAAGTATGCGGCGGCTGGCGGAATCAGCCACCTAAAGTATCCGGCGGCTGGCGGAATCAGCCGCCTAAAGTATCCGGCGGCTGGCGGAATCTGACTTAGGCCCCGAACTTCAGGGTCTATAGAAGGACATGAAACGAAAAAGGAAAAAGACAGCGTGTAAAGGGGAAAAGATGAAAGGGGGAACCAAATGGAGGAGACGGAATACAACGAAACCAAACCTCATTCAGAGAACCTAGGCAAGCCAAGCCTAGTCTGGTATGTGCGCGCCGTATGTGCATTTAAGGGCGGGACGGCCTCAGTGGGCCTGGAAAAACTTTGACCGCTCTGGTCACCTTGTGCCATGCCAAAAGGGCGGGCAACTTGAGTCCGCTGTGGACACGTTATGGCATGCTCGAAAGCGGCGGGCTCAGTTTCAACCATCCAGCAAGTCGGGAAGAAACTATGGCAGAAGCCTCCTGCTGTCCGCTGCGGACACCTCCGTTCCCAGCCCGGGGGAACATGGACAAACCCCCGTCCGACGGGGGGCACTCTTCGAGCTCACCCCACTCGAGATATTGCGTGCGCTTGCCACACGGCGACCGGGGCAACCATATTCCTGAGAAAGTAATGTAAGGGGGCCTCAGCATCCTGGAGGCCCAACCACAAGAAAAAGGGAGCGGTTCCAAGGTCAAAGTCGATGGACAGGCTGACGACAACCGTGCGCGCCTGCAGAACTCATTAGCCCTGTGCAGGAGAGTAGGGTCATAGCTTGATCAACAGTTCCAAAGAAAGCAGGTACGTCTGCAAAAGCGTCCTTTCCAGATGCCAACCACAACTGCAGCCCTCTTCGTTGGGCAATCAGCTGTAATGTGGGATTGCGCCCTTGCTCACAAAATCAATTGATGCCCTGTGATCCCAAGGGCTTCACACACACACACGTGTAATTGTACAATATTGTACACACATATATACGTACGTATATTGTTCAATATACAAACACACCGACTTGTAGTAGAGCCGGGTGGGGGAGAACAAGGCATGCCACTTCAACCACAAGCCCAGCAACAATGATAGCGATATTATCCTGCAAGATAAGACAAAGAAGGACAGGACGACTGAGGAAACAAGTTTCGACCGAACTATACGCTGCAAAAAGTGATGAAAGATGCGTGCCCTGTGGCTGAGTAAGGGGTATGGTATCGTGTTGCCGTGGCCAAGAAAATAGATCAGTGGGCGGAGGAGCAACGGTGAGCTTTGCTTCAATCTTTAGTGAGAGTGGTTCAAGTACCAACAGCTGCTTCAATTGTGTCCCCAGGATGTCATGGGGAAGTGGATCGTGGAGAAGCGAAAGCAGCTTGCTCCGATGCTTGTGGTGCTGAACCGTCGCATGGATAAAATTATTGCAGTAACCCTAATGGTTGCCGGATGACGCACGTTAGTGAGAGGCCACGGGTCTTGTCGGCGAGCAGGAAGCTTTCTTGGGATGTACGATGTACAAGGCCCCTTGACGAAGAGGTGTGCTATACTATTTTTTATAACATATTAATATATAATATACATTGTTTTTTCTCCTCACGACCCGGGTGGGCGAGTTCGGAATTGAGATAGGGACACGTGTGGAGATCTACCAGCAAGGAAGGGGTCAACACGTAGCCCGGACACTATTGTAGCAGGCGTAGCGGCAAAGTTGAAGGGACAAGGTTTCAGGGTGCTCAAAAAAAGACTTGGTAAACCGGCTATTGTGTACTTCTTCTCACCATAACAAGACTTATGCACTGACTGGGATCAGGTCAAAGTCCGGCTAGAAGGTGTGTTGTAGTTGTTTCCGTCCTCAAGTAGATATGATATGCAGCGATTGGCTGAACTCCCAAGCGCACGACAGTTTTGTACACACACATAATCACACACGCACACACACACATATATATATATATTTATTTATTTATATAGATGTACACATACACATGTGCATTTAAATGTTTTTGACGTTTACCATATGCAGACCGAACTTAGCCCAAGAAAAGATGATTACATTTAGCGCTCAAATCGGTTCAGAAGCTGATTCAGGACTGTATACCTTGTTCCGCACATGTTCATGTTCCTCAGCTTCGAATTCAGTGGGCTACCGTGTAGGCTACCCACCATTTCTCAAACACAATGTCGTCGCATGTTGCAGAGCACAAAGGTTGACCACACAGGCGAACAATTACATAGATGAAGACGCTGCCCAGGTGTGGACAGGGCAAAGAGCTGTGCAAAGTTGCTTTGTGATTTAGGCAGCTTGGCCAGTGATGATCTCAGTACTCAATGGGTAATTACAGAGATGAGATGGGTGCCAAAAATCACCATTTTCCAGAGTTTCGACCGTCTGAAAGCGTGTCCTTTGTGCTCACCCGCACTCGGGTAGCACCAGAGAAAGATGCTTTCCTGAACGCAGATGCCGACGCATGGATGAAGCTTGCCCTCTCATGCACCTGCCCTGCAACTGCAGGACTATCAGCAAGAGCTCTCCATAGCAAAATGAACTACACCGTCCGGAGTGAGGTCAAAGATGCGCCTCGGCAGCACTATTCCCAGTGTGCTTGCTGCACCCTTTTCACACAAAGGTGCAGGGCTGGGCTAAGTTCGGTGCAGGACGCAAGGCCATGCCTTGGTGATCTGTGGTGTGTCGTGTTTGCTATGTCTTATTTTTAGTGTGGTGGTGTGGTCGCTATAATGTGGTGATCTGGTGTGTGGTGATTGGCATGGGCCAGCTTGCATGCTCTAAAGTGTTCGTTCTCTAGGAGTTTTGTGTCAACACCTGTCAATCACCAGGCCAAACTTGCTTTGGGCACTCTGTGCTTGTCCGAACTGTTCTAATCTAAGCTTCATGCAATTTTCATTTGTTTTCTATGGATGGTCTTGTTTCCCACTCAACCGGGTTGGGGTAGGCGTTACCCTGGGGATAGCTCGAAGATGCTCGAAGTATAGTATTCTTTTTTGACCCGTGGCCCTGCCTCCTTACTTATATAATTAAGCAGGCACCCACTTATATAACTAAGTATTGTAGTGGGCGCTCCTAGCTACTGGACGCAGGATAGCGCTCGCACTAATCATTTGGTTTCTAGTTTTAGGGAAACTTATAATCAACTGTACTTCTGGGCTTCTGGCTTCGGCGGTTGTTGCGGCCCTTGGTGGGTTTGGTTGTTGTGTCACTCAGCCTTCAGGGTTTGCAATGAGTCCAAGTCTATGCATGCACGTCCAAGACATCCATGCAGTAGTTACTCTGAGCAGCAAGCCGACTAAGTTGCTGCTGCGAGCTATTCACTAAGCTTTATTGGGTTTCTAGGGAGTCACTATTTGTCATAACGTATCAAAACATCCAAGGTTCTAAGCAAGGCTCGCTTATGGGGTCTCACCCACAACCTCCATAATAGGGCGCAAACAGAACGACGAACACAAACGCCAGCACATGCAACATGCCAAATGCAGCAATAGGAGGAAAGGACAATGTGAGGGTTGTTTTGTTTTGCGAGGTTCCGTAAAGGCCAGCGCAGGCGACTCTGTGTCGGAGTGCCGCACAGACCACGTGTGAATCTTTGAGTTTTCGGAAATGCTAGGGGGGCAATTTAATTTGTGAATTACAGGATGGTGCAGGCAACTCGTGTAGTGCGAGCGTGGCTGGAGATGTCTCAAGGTAACTTCCAGCACATGAGGCGGTGCAATGTGGTATGATGGAACCCAGGCTGAGGAAGCATGACTCCCAGCTTCACGAAGACAAAGAAAGTTTAGGGTTGCCACCGAGTTCACTGGTCATGAATTCACAGCCTCAGAAGATACAGTTTGGAAAGTGCCAGAACTAGGAGGGACCGGAGGGACCAAGTACCCAAGAAACAAGGGAAGGATGTGGCATGTGGTCGCCTGTGGTAGCCTTCGGGGAACCCGGTGTTTGACGCTCTAGACTCTAGACTTCGTCAGGGACCGTCACGGGTGTATTGTTCGTTCTCCACCGGTTTCCGGAGCTTTTCAATTTTTTCAATTATTTAATATCTCGCAGAGCGGTTTCTTGAAGTACCCATAGCATCCCATAGCCTCTTTATGCCTTTTTCATCGGCTCAGGCCTTGAGGACCGGGCAGTTGGAAGCTGCATGCATCGTGAATATGTTCAACGAGGCTTGTGTCTTGTGTCTTCATTCATGCCGTCATCACGTGCTCCAACGATTGATTCGGTTCTACACCTGGAGCCTGATGTTAGGTGCAGGCATTCGGTTCTCACAGTAGTTGACATCGAAAGATCAAATCAATTGTGTGTTGCATTGGCACTGGGGAAACATGTTTGGCCTCGGAAACATTTGAGATGTCCACAAAGAATGTATTCTCACAGTCCAGGGTGTATCCATGAATGAGCTGAAGTCCGTGATTTTTTGGGACAAGCGCTGCAGTGCAGTCAATGTGAAACTCGGCAAGCACCTTTGTGGAGGGCCAAAGGACGCCGAAAGTTGCCGAACAGGCTGTGTCATGCTGTGTTGATTGTGTGAACATGGGTGAACTGTTTGAGCGGCTCTGGCATGCACTGCAAGATGGGCCCTTTGCCTTTGTTTGGTTCCGGTAACAACGCAGCCTGAGACGTTCAAGGACATTTGTGAAGCCAAGCATATACTGGACTCCTGGACATAAGGACTGATAGGTGAAATGAACTGACGAAAGGCCCAGGCTCACCACTGAACCCTCCAACATGAAATCCTCTCTACGCCACCACCAAAGACCAACAACCTGTTGATTTTGTGCAGTGTTTTTCTGAAATGGCGGAAGTTGAACTAAGTTCGAATCTGGCTGAGTCCGTCCCTTGTGGTGGCCTCTTTTAGCTTCACCGGCCCAGAGCGCCAAGGAAACAGCTGTCCATGCGTGTGACGCGGCTTCATGAGACCAAGCCCATTGCGCACGTGGTGTTGCCCCTTTGTGACTGGGCACGTCGTCGCCAAGCAATCTGTCGGAGTGGAGGATGGTGGACCCAGCAGAGGCCTTGAGGTCGTAAGTGACATCAACCAACAAGCCATCAACAGGAAGGAATGTGGTTGTGCAGCCGCGGGGCAACCGTCCAACCAACTGAACCTGGTGCCTGAGGCATTTGGGGGGTTGAACGCAACCTGGTCGACCTTATTTGTCATAGCGTCATCCCCAAGCCTCCGCCGAAAGTTGAGGTGAAGACTTGCGGTACGACAGAGAGATTCGCAACATCATCAGGCACCAAGATAGTCCAGCCATGTCCAGCCTTTGGCTCAAGAAGACAGAAACGGCCAGACTTGATCTGGGATAATCAAGCGTCAAGTAGGATCTCATTGATTGTATCCCAGGAGCCTGGCAGCTGTTAATTCCAATGTTAAGACTGGGATTCGACAGCAATGCGCTGGCTGGTGGCCCGGCTGCAGTCGGAATACTCCAAGAATCTCCAAGATACATAAATATTATATATGCAAGCTGATTGAAGCTCAAAGACTTCAAGCGGTGTGTTTGCAGCGTCCAGCGCCAAAGCACTGAGGTTCAATGTTGTGAATTTGCAACGTAACCAGAGCTGCTTGATTTGAATGGTTGGATGTGCAAGTCCAAGTCAGGCTGGCCATTTCCCCCACCCGACGTGACTGGGATGGCTAGTTAGTTGTCTAGTTGTTCTTTTTTTGATGGACAACCCAGCCTATTGTGACCTTTGCTGCTGCAGCAGCGCATATCCCAGCGTAACGACAAACACAACAACAGACGGCAAGCCATTACACCGACAACACGCAATGAGAGCACCAAGCACATGCGCAGACAACCCGACACCAGACAAGAAGCAATGATATACTGATATACGACACACAATGGCAACACCAACAGCAGGCAAGAAGCAATGACAGATACGGTACACACACACATAATGACAACGGCAAACATACCACAGCGCATCCCGCCGGTGGCCCGACCCATTCCCGCCAATGGCCCGACATGACAGCAGACGTCAAGCATTGCCACTCAAAATGTCGACATGAAATCCTGCCAAAAGGGGGGGAAGCAAAGGGAAGGACTGCAATGCAAACACGCGTGGAACACCCTAAAAGTCATAGGCCGTTTTGTCCATGGGCCGCTCTACCGAGACTTCTTCGCTCTTTGAGGCTCTCCTTGGTCTGCGGAATCGGACAACATTTCGGAACAGATCTTCGACCGTTTTGGCCGATACCTGACGGGCCCCCGCGTACAGGCTGCCACTGCCCGACCTGCCCGGGGCATCCGGCGCAAGCCATTTTACAAGTGCTTTTTGCGATTTGGTTCGAAGACCCACCTTGCAAAGCATAAGTGGTTTCAAACCCTCAGAGAAGCTCAGCAAACATCAATCAGGGCCTGTACTTGTGATTTTTTGTTTTGCGGTCATGTCCTGGTTTCTGCCCTAGTGGTCGTACACATCCTTTTGTTGCAGGACTTCAGTGGCAGTGTGGACCAGCTCAAGGAGAGGGTTTCCAGCATGCATGAAGGAACGCCAATTTTTGTTTTCTTCGGCTCCTTTTTCCTACAACTCTGGCACTTCACTGTTCCATACGGAAAGCCAAACCACGTCAGCAAACAAACAGACTTAGTGGCTTAGAGCATCAAACCTTGGCAGAAGTCAAACTCCAATTAATAAGACACCATTCTACTGCAAGGTTTTCGTTTGTCAGTAAGAAGCTAGCAACCCCCAGACTGTAACTGCTCGGAATTCCCAGACGGAAACCTGCACCATCCTGCCTGCAAGTAGCTGCAAGCACAGCACAGGACAGTGCAACACATCACTGAGCAACTAAGTATATACAGTATATATATAACTTAAACTTATAACTGGCTAACTAACTGACTAACGAACAAACTATGACTATACCATAATAATATATATAGCGATATATGATATAACCATGAAAAACCTATTGCATCAATGTATTTGTTAAAGTGCCCCAAGTTCGATTGTATATTCATCGGATGATGGGCAGGACTGCTGCGATGTAGCCCAGCCCCTAGCAACCTATATAGCAACCCGGCAACCCTCCAGTACCTAGCAGCCCAGTAGCACGCCCGACGCATCCAAACCACACTGAAGGCTCCCGCCAACAGCCCACATATAGCTGCCAGGATTTCGTTGTGCTACATGGCCATTTGCCCCGAGTAGCCGCCAAGCGTGCTCACAAGAAGGAGAGGGCAAATCTCAGATGAGTTCAAGACACATTGCTGGGAGTGCAGGGCCAGGCAACAAAGTTTCAGTTGTTTGAGAAAAAGCTGCATGTAGCTGCAACGCATGCCATGGCGCGCCACTCTTTTCTCATACTTGTCAAGTAGGATGACCATGAGCGGAATCTTTGGCCTTATCACAGAAGTGCCAAGTGTGCAACTATTCTATTTTACATACACTTGGATGGGCCGTTTCTCGCAAGTATGCCAAGCAGATCTCCGAACAGTACTACTACTGATACTACTGCGAACTGCAGACTTCTACGCGGTCTAAAGCTTGCAGTCGTGGGAAGTGGAGTCATGTGGAGTGATGTGGAGCGCACGAGTGTGGGTTGGTCTTGAATTTTTGCACTGTCGTCCATGGTCTCCTCCTCCCCTTGGTGTGACAATGCCACTAGAGTCTCTAGAGCTCTCACATCAAGGTGCCGCTCTGCAGAGAGTGGACTGTGTGATGTTGACAACCACCAAGTGTGAACAGACACCAGCGCTGTGCGTAAAGTCTGCCGGTCTCTTTATGGCAATATGCAGTATCGGGCCAAGACGAGATCATGTTACTTTGTATGGGCCACAATTTGAGCTAAGATGAGATCAGGTGAGATGAGGTAGTATGAACATGTATCATCCAGCACTCTCACTACTGACTTGCCTACACCCAAGCTCGCATCATTTCCCATGATAGTTGGTATCGATGTCCTGGATCTGGCGGCGTTGGAGCCGGCAAACGTACATAGCCCCAAAGTTGTTGCCAGCCAAATTATGCAGAAGGTTATTGCACATTCGCAACGCACATGCTTTGAGTTTGAGTCTTGGCAGCGGCCTGCTTACATGATTTGCAGGATGAGGCCTTCTTGGCACGTCTTGCACTTAGTGTGCTGGCGTGATGATTGTTCGGCAACCACTGGCATCCCAAGGATCATTAAACTTAATTTAAAAAAAGGCACATGTTTGGGGAAGAGTCTAGCAGCAACAATGAAGATCAGTTGACCATCTACCTTCAGGCTTTTTGTTTTCGGTGCCTTAGGATCACCTTGGTTGCTGATGAATTCCAGTTCCCAACATCTGGCGGGTTGTAATTATATTTGCTGTCTCTGGTTCAGGTTTCCTGAAATATGTGAAGAGAAAGCTGACATCTGATGTGGCGTGGCAGTAGTGAGGGGGGATGGGAGTGCGGAGGATCAGCAACTATACTTCGTCATGTTTCACCCGTAGAGGCTTTAGGGGCAAGGTGCGTTGGCTTTTCATAGGAGGATGACAGGATTCAAATCGCTGGCGTGTAGATGCGCCACATTCCTTACTCAGCACAGCAGTTCTCAATTCATTAAGGGGCCCTTTTCGCAGAGTCCAGGACCGTCCAGGATAGCACCTCTCCAAGCGACACATCTCAACGACGTACTGGTGCATTGTCGCGCTGTTGGTCACCCCATGTGCGCAACCAGCCCACCAGTGACGTTCTGACGTTTGCCTCCCAGGAACTGAGCCAAGCTCAGATCTTCCAGCTGAAGCTGATTCCCCTGATGCAGGAACGGATAGAAGAGTGGACAAAATTTGTCACTCGGTATGATGGAGTGGAGGGCAGGTGATGACCGCGGCACAGGTGATAAGGTGGGCAAGAAGCAGGCCGGAGAGACCAGGCAAATTACATGATGAGACTGATATGTTTTGATTTTATATCACCAGTATTTAATACACACCGTGCACACATACATTCTTACATACATTCATACAGGCAGGCAGGCAGCCAGGCCAGGCCAGACAAGACAAGACAAAACAAGACCAGACCAGACCAGATCAGATCAGACCAGACAGACAGACATACACGCATGGCTCAAGACACGGGCTCAAGCGGGCTCCCCGCGAAGACCCGCTAATGCATCAAGCCCCAAGCGAACATTGACTGCGGAACCTGAGCAAGGGGATCGATTACAACACTTTCATTCATTGCCAGTGATCCAACATCCAGGACACCAACACCGCCCCTGTCCTAACTTACAGCACCTGGCAGTGCTCGCCTTGAACTTCTTCCGGGACTCTGCTGAATTTTTACACGATCTCTCCTTGCACCTTTTGGACAAGGTCTACTACAGGCACTTTGCCCGTGATCCTACGAGACTGCCTTCCACTGCGGCCAGCGGTGATCATTGAAATTTGGGGAGGGGGCACTTGCGCATAGACTACCCAGATCAGAACGCCAACTGTGCCTGAAGCGGCCACTAGTGCCGAGGGTGAAACCACCCAGCGTGACACTGAGCTCAAGGACCTCTACAACTCTAGAAGCAACAAACATATGCACGCACACATGCATACATGCACGCATACATGCATTCGTAATGCATACACGCATACATGCATACATGCCTGCACGTGTGCGTACATGCATGCGTCCATGCCTACGCGCATCCATGCAGACAGGCAGGCAGACAGACGAAGAGACAGACAGACCATGAAGAGCTCTGCTCGTGCTCGTTCATGAAGGTGACAGGCTTAAGCTTGGTGAGCCCGAGGCCCGACCATGGTGGCAGGATTTGGTGGCCTTTGTCGTTGGTGTTTTGCCTGGGGATCAGGCATCACGGATCACTGCGCCTGAGGATCCAGAATGCCCAGTACAGAGGATGGTTCATGGGTTCACCTAGCGTTGGTGGATTGAGCTATCTTGAACTCATTGTCTCTTTCACACCTGCCGTGGCAGATGATCCCGGCCTTTAGGCCGGGAGACGGACATCAACGAGTAATTACACCAAATGGCTGGAATTTGCACATCTGGCACCGCATGCAGCCATGCTGTAAGGGAGGAGCCTTCAAACGATTCAAACGCTTGATGAGGGCGGATGTCACCAAATCGAAGATGAATAGTTTGGAATGTGTTTGGATGGCGCCCAATCTGCCAAGCCCACGGCAACGAGGCTGCCCATGTCGTCGGAGGTTGAGTCTGGCCCAGTCCTGGGAGATTAAAGCCTTTTTTAAGATTCATAGGATGTGAAAGGCTATGAGGAGAAT